GTGTGTGTGTGTGTGTGTGTGCACGGGAGGCAACCCCCCCCGCAATCAATCAATTCATTGATTCATTGATCGATTGATTGCAAGCGCGTCGGGGAGGAGGTGGAAGCGCAAGTGGGGGCGGCAGCGGGGTGCCGATCAATCAATCAATCAATCGAAAAAAGAAAAAGTGAAAAAATCGAAAAACGCCGTTTTCAAACCCCGCGGTTATGTGTGTGTGCAATTGATTGATTGATTGATTGATTGGAAGTCGGGGCCGAAGGGGGAGATGGCGCAAACAGATGTGGAACCGGAAGCGGCGACGAAAGCGTTTTTTTTTTATAAGTTTTAATCAATCAATCGATCAATCAATCAATCAATCAATCAATCAATCAATCTCTTTCTCTCGCTCTTTCTCTCTCTCTCTGTCTCTGTCTCTCTCTGTCTTTCTCTCTTTCTCTCTTTCTCTCGCTCTCTCTCCCTCTCTCTCTCTCTCTCAATCTATGAATCAATCAATCAATCAATCAATCAATCAATCAATCAATCAATCAATCAATCAATCAATCAATCAATCAGTCAAAGGGGGGGAGGCGCACAGGAGGTGATCCCCTGGGCAACCAATCAATCAATCACTAACTGTGTGTGTGTGTGTGTGTGTGTGTGTGTGTGTGTGTTTGTGTGTGTGTGTGTTTGTGTGTGTGTGTGTGTGTAAGTGTGTGTGCACGGGAGGCAATCTCTCTCTCTCTCTCTCTCTCTCTCTCTCTCTCTCTCTCTCTTTCTCTCTTTCTCTCCACACCCTCTCTCTCTCCCCACCCTCTCTCTCCCTTTTTTGGGCGCAATTTGACGAATCAATCAATCCTTAATAATTGATTGATTGGTTGATCGATTCATTGAAAAAAAAAAGAGGCAAAAGAATTTACCTCGATATCGGTATCCCCGGATATGGATATGGCCCATCTCGATATCGGTATCCCTCGATATCGATATGGCCCATCTCCATATTGGTATCCCTCGATATCGGGGGCACGCATTTGCGGCAAGTACGCCACGTGGCAAGTACGCGACGTGGCAAGTGCGGCCTCACCATATGGTCTCGCGTGGCAAGTGCGCCCTCACCGAATCCCCCGCTATGGGGAGGACGCATTTGCCACGTGGAGTACTTGCCCCATCATCTAGTCCCACGTGGCAAGTGTGGAGGTGGCGACGCCGAGGTGGAGATGGGAGCAGGATGGCAACGCCCAGGTGGCGACGCCATGTGGCGTACTTGCCACGTGGCGATGGGAGAGGGATGGCAACGCCGAGGCGCCGATGCCGCGTGGCGATGGGAGCGGGATGGCAACGCCGAGGTGGCGATGGGATCGGGAGCGGGATCAGGAAGCGAAGGTGGCCACGGGTGCAGGATCGGGATCGGAAAGCGGAGGTGGCGATGGGTACCACACTTCGCACATGCCAAACATCGCACGTGGCGCATGTGCCACGTGCCACACTTTCCGCATCGCCACGTGACATACTTGCCCCATCATCTAGTCCCACGTGGCAAGTACGGAGGTGGCGACGCCGAGGTGGCGACAGGAGCGGGATGGCGACGCCATCTCGGCGTCGAGGTGGCGTACTTGCCCCATCATCTAGTCCCACGGGCAAGTGCGAAGGTGGCGACGCCGAGTTGGCGACGGGAGCGGCAAGTACGCCACGTGGCAAGTGCGGCCTCACCATATAGTCCCGGGTGGCAAGTGCTGAGGTGGCGACGGGAGCGGCAAGTACGCCACGTGGCAAGTGCGGCCGCACCATATAGTCCCACGTGGCAAGTGCGGAGGTGGCGACGCCGAGGTGGCGACGGGATCGGGATCGGGAAGCGGAGGTGGCGACGCCAAGATGGCGACGCAGGGCGTGGGATCGGGAGCGGGATTGGGAAGCGAAGGTGGCGACGCACGGCGCGGGATCAGTAGCCGGATCGGGAAGCGGAGGAGGCGACGCCAAGGTGGCAACGCAGGGCACGGGATCGGGATCGGGAATCGATGGTGGCGACGGGAGTGGGATCCGGATTGGAAAGCGAAGGTGCTGATGGGTACCACACTTCGCACGTGCCAAACATCGCACGTGGCGCACTTTCCACATCACGTCAAGGTTGCGACCAGGTCACCAAGTAATCAATCAATCAATCAATCAATCCATCAATCAATCCATCAATCAATCCATCAATCAATCAGTCAATCAATCAATTAATCAATCGATCAATCAATCGAT